AGTTGTGGGTATACTTTTGTCTTGACATGTTGTCTAATAAAAGAATACCTAATAAATGTTTAGTGAGGGAAAGTGACTAACAACAAAAATTCTTGTTGAACAAAAAATGCAGTATTATAAAATATGTGACAGTGAAATAAGAGAATAAAAAAATATTGATATTACATCAGTATATTTTACACGGAAATGGAGTGACAAAACCTCTTTCGAAGAATATAAGCAATCGTATCGATCGATGGTCTTACGCCTGCAGTATTTACACGCAGACGACGACACCCCTTTATCCTTGATGTCACGATATGTTGCCTGTGTTGTACTACAAATTATTCCTTCCTCCCTGGGTTAGATCTCTGGACGTGGCACGAGAACTAGACAAACGAATCGAAAATTACTTGTTGTCTCTTTATAAAGTACTGGTTTCAACCTTACTTTATATTTTTCCTTTCACTATTGAAGACGAGCAGTGGGGAGAGGGAGCACGTAGTAATTATGTTACTAGGTTATGCATACTATACTACTTTTTAGAATTTTATTTATGTTTACATAAATAATATTTGCAATCAGGATTGTACTTAGTGCAACACCATGTAGTGTCTCTCTTTCTTTTTGTTCATCGGCGCGCGTTGAAAACTTGTTGTGCGGTGTGTGTAGGGTATGGAGTCATTAGTCCACATTTCCGACTGACAATAACTATGCGATAGTCAGCGAAGTAGTAAGAGAAAACTAACTTTATGACTACTTGGCAAAACTTTGTTTCAGTAGAGGGACTCCGTCTGAAGGGGATGTGATCCTCAGCAAATTTTTACGCCATTATAATCGCTGGCTTATGAACAGTCACTATAGTAACGCAGGATGCCGACGGCGAGTATTAGGCGCGCGAACAGACAGGGCACTTGCGACGCTGCAGCGCAACAGCCACTGGGCCGCGTTGCGAGAGGCGCGCGGGGGGCGCGGTTCCGAACACCCTTCGCTCACGCGGCAGAGAGGAGAGAGATGCCAACTTGCAATCGCCAGTCACGCGCATAGGATTGTGTCTTCGGATATGTGTGCTACACCAACGAAATGTTTGGAAGGCTCTTGTGGAGGAAATCGATCCTTGCCCGGTTCTCCTCGCTGTATTCGACTGCTGTTCTGCTCCGTCTGTTTTACGAATGTGTTTACTCGCCAGGAACACGCCGGCCGCGTCTCAGATCGGGCATTGTGTGTTAGTCAGTGGCTAGCCGTGGAGTCGCTCGCTTTTCTGTTCGGCTTATATCTTTGGCTCTCTTATACTATTATGTAGCTTTCAATCCTCGCCCACTCTCTGATATTCCGTACTGATTTTGCATACTACCATTCAACCGGTTTCACGTAATAACAATTTTCTGCAGTACTGTCATAGGTCTCTCGTATGCTTCTTCTCTCTTTCTATACTTCGCAATCTGCTTATTTCAGTGTACAGCGTAACACAGTGTGCAGCACTCTGTGACTCGCGCACGCCGCGCGCCAAACAAAGTTGTAACTACAAACTTACCACTACCTCTCGAGTCACTCACTGCCAACATATGCTACCTATTGCAATACTCGTGAGCAATTGTAATATGTAGCATAAGATAAAATTCCTAGAAAAGTATCGTTAGTACTGCATCAAGTCGCCGGCTAGTAAAACATAATACCGTCG